CTTTATCTTATTTCGCTTTTGAGTTATGGGTGTTGAATCTGAAGAAGAAGGAGGAGAAGATGACTCCCCCTATCATAGCCCATACATCTACAAGTAAATTAAAAATCCTGCGAATTTTAAAAACAGGCATATATGTAGGGATGGTACAAAAAGAAAGGGAGACAAGATAGGGATGGGATACATGAAGCATGGTTTATGAACACATTTGAGTACGCTGACACCCCGACCCCATCACATAATCCCTATAATATATATTGTTGCCTGGTGTGCTACTCTTATAGGGAATGTTGCATTGTAATTGTAAGGGCTAAAAGCAAGCATCCTTTCACCGTGTCCCTGTTTGTTTTTAGTAAAATTTATACTGCCACATTCCCTATAATTAAACTCCACTTGGACTCTATAATGGTGTTGGTTACTCAGTAGCATGACTTTTTTGTAGTATAAGTTATCTGAGTATTGTAATGGTGAATGTGTAATACTTCACCTAGGCAACAATATTGCCGAAGAAGGAGAAGAAGATGAACAAAACTCTCTATCATAGCCCCATACATCTATGATGCTAGGTACCATGCCAATCCCTATATACTAAGTACTACCGTACTTAGTGATTATGCTAGGTACCATGCCAATCTTATATACTAAGTACTACCGTACTTAGTGATATACTAAGTACTACCGTACATAGTGATAAGTAATATGTACTTAGTGATACTAACATACACAATACAGTGTAGTGCAGCACACAAAGGGTATTAAAGGTACAAAGCAAGCATAGTACAGTATAAATAACAAGTAAAAAACTGTCAAGTCAAAAATGAGTTATTATCCACTTCTCTTGCGAGAAACCCAACCGAGAAGGGCACAGACAGCTATAATAGCAATGACAAGAACAAGAACTATGGCAAGTCCATCTCCGACACCAAACTTGTATGCTGCCTCAGCTGGCGATGCAAAGAAGGCCAGTAGTGCCACTACCACTGCAAGAACTGCACTGTTGTACATCTTCCTTTTGTGTAGTTCCTGCACGAAAAGTATTTAGTAATCAGATTTGTTTTGGAAAATGATGAATTTGTGGTGCATGTTCAAAAACACACCTGTTACTGCATGTAGATAGGTGAAGATGTGTTTCAAAATTTCCAGTGTATTAAAGGGAATGTGTTAATACATATGAGCTAAATTTAGAAATGTTACTAAAGATAGTCAAATCTGTTCATTAACCATGCTTCATGTATCCCATCCCTATCTTGTCTTCCATTCTTTTTATGTACATGCCTCTTTTTTAAGATTTTTAATTTACTTCTCTCCACTCATTTTTATATACTACTTCGTATCCCCTATAAAAATTAATAATAGAGAAAATCGTCATGGAAATGATGTAATACGCATGTGTCATATCCATGTGTGCTGCCGTTAGCAAGTTTGAAGAGTGAATAAGTAGTTTTAAAGAAAATTGACTGAGGCTATTTGTTGTTGTGGTCGTCATGGAAATGATGTAATACACATGAGCACCAAGTTTCACCTCCATGCGTGCTACAGTTAGCAAGTTTGAGGAGTGAAGAAGTAGTTTTTAAAAATTGCCTGAGGCTTTTTCAAACAAAATGCGGTCGTCATGGAAACATGTAGTCGTCATGGAAATGATATAATAGGCATACATACCAAGTTTCATCTCTATGTGTGCTACCATTGGAAAGTTTGAGAAGTGAAGAAATAAATGTGCCTGAGGCTATTTGTTGTTATTTACAAACATTTATTGTTGTGATTTTGATGTTGGTGATTGAATACATAAATTTTAGTTCACATAGCTCTTACCAATTGTGAGTTACACCGACACATGTAGTATGCCGTTGCACATGTGGTTATGGATATGTACATTCCTACAAAATTTCATGGCTTTATCTGTTTCGGTTTTTTAGTTATGCTGGTTTAAGAAGAAGATGAAGATGAACAAACTCCCTATCATAGCCCCATACATCTATGATGCTAGGTACCATGCCCATCCCTATATACTAAGTACTACTGTACTTAGTGATACCACCAGCAATCTATAAGGCTTAGCTACAATGATTATAGTTTAAAACAGAAGGCTGTATTATAAATGGATCAGGGATAGCTGGCTAGTACAGTATCTTTACCAACCCACTTCTTCTCCATGTACGTAAGGGCACACGTCCGTACGTACTCGTTATCATGATTCTAACCTGTGCATAACCAGCCAATGACTTACACATTTCGGTAGTATGCTCATAAGTAGTCTCGACTCATAGGGAGGAGTCTTTTCCCTGTTTTGCATACCCCAACTTAGTGTGTGTAATTGCACACACACAGTAGGCACACTACAAAGTGTGCTAAGCATGTTGTGCATATATGGCATAGTAGCAGTCATGAGTAACTCCACCTAATGTTTGCATTCTGTCACCCCCTGAAATTTGGGGGTGTCAAACAGTAGAATTCTACATACGTTTGCCTTTCTCTGGCCACACAAGACTACAAACAGTTCTGCCATTGGTAAGGTACACTGTACACACTATTAAACCACACACACACACTATAAAGCAACCATTGCCTGCTTATGAATGTAGAGATTGTAGGGTACTCAAGTTAATGCACATCATAATCAACTATGGATGCATCCAAATTTATTAGAGAGTACCTAACAATGGGATTAGTTGCAGTTTGACCTATAGTTAACCAACGGTGCGCATGTGCAGCAAGGGTTACAGTACTTGATTTGTCATTCCAGCCGTCCGTCCGTCCGTCTCTATGACGTATTCTGCCACCACGCGCAATGAGACAACAAAATAGCGATACCAACAGGTTAATTTATACACTGGCTTCATTTTTAAAATAGTGATTTCGTAGTAGAAGTACTGCGTTCTAAAGTTATGGCGTGAAAACCAAGTGAACAAGCCAATATGCTAATTAGCACTGGCTTACTTCAACCTGATCCGCTTGCTCTGTGTACCTCAGAGGCACAAGAAGCCACAACGAAGGGCATGTATCGACTCCTGCATGCTATATACTACTGTAGCTAGCCCGTATCAGACTCTCCGTGAGCTACAAGCAGGAGACCACGAGAAAGTGCATACTAATAGGCCCAGCCCATCAATTAGCGGTATTGCGCATGCGCAGTTCACCGAGGGTTGGCATTTTTGTGCTTTTAGGAGCAGAGGGGGAAAATATACATAATACAGTCTGTATGTGTGTGCTACACTGACATAATGTGCCCTGGGCTGATTGGATGACCCTGCAATTGCAAGTATCCCTCGCTTCAGAGTTGTTTGCGCCAAGAAATATCCTTTGCACATGTAATTTTCCAACTTCCCCACCTCCCAACAATTACATGGATCCACCCCGGATTAAAGATCAACAGAGAAAGAAAACAACACTAATCAGACTTTTACACATACTCATACATGGGAGGTCCAGACGAACCTCAAGTTACAACACAGTTTAGCAATGCAGCGTGCAATTTTTTTCTCTTAAGAATTATGTACACGTGTGATTCTACATACTGCGGCAAAAAAATCAACCTAACCCTATTGGTCATAGTACCGGGAAGTCGCAGATAAAGCAATGTATCAGACTATATCTTTGAACATACTAAATGTACAAGCATCTCATACGCCATTTGCCCACACATAATACTCAGCTACCAGTGTTACCTGGTTTCTCCCCTCTATTACATGTATGTGTGATATTCAAACAGACAGAGGAAGCAAAGAGAGAGAGAGGGGAACTGCTGGGTCATCTGCCAAAACTGTGTGTGCAGAGGAGTGAGTGAAGCAGTTTGTTGCTAATACCCTAGTTTCTATTTCATTTCCCTGCTCTCTCCTATCCTCCGGGCGTCGTGTTTGTCACCTCTATGTATGTAGGTATCACACTCACTAAAGTGATAATGCCACTTCAACACACATTAGGGAACACTTATAAAATGTTGTCTGTATGTTTTAACGCATGCATAATACTGTTAATAATGGACTAACTTGTCTCCACTTCACCTAATGGCTATATACAGTTCACAACATTTTCTACAAACAGAATGTACAGCAGTCAGTGACTTTACACTACTGGCAGCTAGAATAGCCCTCTGCACTGTTAGACATATTATCGTATGCATAAGCAACACCACGGACACGTCACTTATCTACAACACGTTGTAGTTGAGTAAGAAGCTGAGTTACAATTTGGGCAGGGCCTAAGGCTATTTGCAAAACAGCTTAGCTCAGTTGAATCAATGAAGGATTTTAAAAGAGATGTTGCGAGGCATTTGTACACGAACTACTGTGGCTGTACATGTCTCATCTGCCTCTCTGTATTTAAAAGTACAGAGTGAACATCCCCTGCTTAACATCGATAGTTCAGAGAAGACATTCAAGCGCTATAGTTCATGCACCTCTGACCCATACTCTCGCAGAAATTACACACACCATAAGTCGCAGGACATACCAAGTAGTATAAGGCAAAAAGACTTGGTGGTACTGCTCCGCTGAGAGTGTCTCCAATAGGTCGAAGATGGACGATGAGCTAGTGTGTGTGCCGCCCCACGCCCACACTTTTATTGTAAGCGCCCGAGGCACGTGATTGGGAAATCCCCGCCCGGCCCCCCCCCGCCCCCTTCCGGCTCCAAGAGCTCGCTTTAGAATGATTGGTTCGTGAGCGGACTCTAATTTGCGTAGAGTCCGGAATTAGGGTCCGCCGGACAAGGCCCTTTAGTAGCGTCCTCGCTTAGCCTCATACCCAGGCCCCACACACCCGCGCGCGAGGCCAGGAGAGCTAGCTAGGTATCCCCTGCTTGCGCATGCGCGGTATTTTATCGGAATGTCGTGTCGGCCGCGCCGCTGGGGATCAGACGAGGCTACTTAGCCTGGGCCTGGGGACGAGGCTAGCTAGCTACGTCCTCGCTGCGTGCGGTCGAACGCCGACAGGCTATATATAGCGCTAGGCGACAGCTCAGGGCCGGCCCCCCGCGGCTATCTAAATCGCGTAGTAGTAAACACCTTATTGCGCATGCGTAGCTAGCAGGCGATACCATGCATGCCAGCTGCACAGCTGCAGCTCATTATGGCAGGGTTGGAGGAACTGAAACAGGTTCATTTAGCTACTTTGGCTTGTGTTGTGTGGGATATATCCATGCCTTCCACAGAAATTGCAGCGAGATGTCAACTCTTTGCTCGATGAGAACCGCCATACTAGGCGACGAGCACTAGAAAGACTCTGGAAAGAAGCAGTACAAAATGATGCTCTAGCGAACGACGAGATAGAAGGTCTCTTCGACTTTCTCTTGAAACCTCTCCTCAGAGCCTTCTCGGATCCCGTGGAAAAGTGCCGAGAACTGGCCATTGAGATCATCACCAAGTGAGGTCTTATAGCTGTCCCTCAGCAATGGGGCTGTAAAGGGCTTCTCCTACACAAGGCACTTCAGTGCAAACCCTCAGCCATTACGCATGCGCGGTACCGATAATTGATTGGTTGGGCTATCTGTATCATTGTGGTCTCCTGGTAGGTGCTTGCCGAGAGTCTAATGCGAGCTACACATAGCTGCACTCCATGCAGGAGTCAGTACACACCCTTCGTTGTCACTTCTTGTGCAGGCAGATCAGGTCGAGAGGAAGCCGGTACGATTGATTTTTTTGACAAAATAAGTCAGGAGGCAGTCGGTTCAGATTTTTAAGGCTCACGTTTTTCTGAAGCTGTTGGTATCACTAATAACCGCCTCATAGCCTGTAGTGCCAGAATAGCTGCATACAAATGGAGTGTAAAACGTCAGTAAGCTGGCGCGGTGCAAACCCTCAGTAAGCTAGCTCGTACGGTAGGACGCAGAGAAAGTCACTGTGTATACGGTTTGCTCCCCATGACGTCGCGCACCGGTTTTCTCTCCCATAGAGAATGTATGGCGGAGGCATATCAACAATAAGCTAGTACAACAAATCCGGAAAAATCTGAAAAAATCACTATAATTATATAAATCACGAGCGATTTAGCGGTGCTATTGAAAAAATAGTCGACGAATGAACTCATACAGAACCTAAGTGAATATCACTAAAGTACGGTAGTTCTTAGTATAATATTATAGGGATTGGCATGGTACCTAGCATCATAGATGTATGGGCTATGATAGGGAGTTTTGTTCATCTTCTCCTTCTCCTTCTTCTTCAGATTCAACACCCATAACTCAAAACGAAACAACATAAAGTAATGAAATTTTGTAAGAATGTAGATATCCGTCACTCGAAGAGACTGGTCATATTTCTTTGTAAACAACAACAAATAGCCCCAGGCAATACGTTATAATGGGATCACATGTGTCAGTATAACTCACAAATGGTAAGAGCTATGTGAACGAAACTTTGTAGACATATCACCAACATCAAAATTACAACAATACATGTTTGTAAACAACAACAAGTAGCATCAGGCACTTTTCTTTAAATTTACTTCTTCACTCCTCAAACTCTGCAATGGTAGCACACATAGAGTTGGTACGTATGCCTATTATATCATTTCCATGACGATTACTTGTTTCCATGACGATCACATTTTGTTTGAAAAAAACCTCAGGCAATTTTCTTTAACACCACTTCTTCACTCCTCAAACCTGCTAATTGTAGCACGCATCGAGGTGAAACTTGGTGTGCATGCTCTGCTGATGAAGGCCAACAAGCCCGAAACAGCTGTCCAGAGCTCTGCATCTTTTTTCTCTTGGCATCACATGGTATTTTCTACATGTGTATTACATCTTTTCCATGTCGACCACAACAACAAATAGCCTCAGGCACTTTACTTTAAAATTACTTCTTCACTCCTCAAACTTGCCAACGGCAGCACACATGGAGATGAAACATTGTATGCGTATCATTTCCATGGCGACAACAGGTCTTTTTTTTTAATAGGGCTTGCCCCCTTCCACAGAGATAATACGTAGTAGTATATAAAAATTAGTGGAGACAAGTAAATAAAAAATCCTGCGAATTTAGAAAAGAGGCATATAGAAGGGAGACAAGATAGGGATGGGATACATGAAGCATGGTTAATGAACAGATTTGAGTACGCTGACACCCCCAACCCCATCACACAATCCCTATATTGTTGCCTAGGTGAAGTATTGAACATTCACCATTACAGAACTTACAATATACTACTGAGTAACCAACACCTTATAGAGTCCAAGTGGAGTTAAATTAAAGGGAATATGGCAGTATAAATGTTACTAAAAACAACCGGGAGACGGTGGATAATGCTAGCTAGCTTTTAGTAACCTTTAGACCCTACAAGAGTAGCACACCAGGCAACAATATTGGGATTGTGTGAAGGGGTTGGGGGTGTCAGCGTACTCAAATGTGTTCATTAACCATGCTTCATGTATCCATCCTTATCTTGTCTCCCTTCTGTATGCCTCTTTTTTAAATTCGCAGGATTTTTAATTTACTTGTAAGACAAGGAGACAAGACAGGGATGACCTAGTGTGTGTGATGCAATGGATAATGGCTCAATATATTATTCTCAAACTCACATTGCATGCTCGTGAATTGAGCAATGAACGTCAATTTGAAATACGTAGCTGTCATCCATTGTGCTACTGCATCACATACGCCGGGTCATCTCTTTCTTCTCTCCATCCATCCATATTCATCATTTTTTCATTCGAAGAATGTTTCAATTGTATGTGTAAGCAATGCATGTTCTTGTTTTGCCACCTTAGGCGGTAACTATGTTCTTATCGATGCCTAGACGTATCGTATTCTGACCGTTTTGCGTTTGTGAGCTGGGTTGGAACCCAAGCTTTTATGAGAACGAGACTGAACCTCTGCCGTGCTCACGGGGTTAGGTAATAGATAATGTGCGTTTAGAGTTCTATATGTGATTTACGGGAGCGAGGGGGTGAGGTCGAGCGCCTTGTGCTGTATGGGTCTCGAGACCACAACCTGAGTTCCCGTAAGTCATGTATAGAACGATAGGACGGACATTTTGTGTATTATTGTGACTTTGTAGCAGTCGTCGACCTCCAGCAAAAGAAAGGTGACGGCATACATGTGCATGTGCGCACTTGCTAGCTTCTCTCTGTTATTGAGGGTACCGCAATCGAGCAAGGTCGTGATGGTGGCTCTTTCTCCCTCAGAGAAACTAGTTTCATTGGTCGCTGGACCGTTTGACCGGTCGGTGCATGCCACGGTCTTGCTTGCCACAGAGAGATAGCTGAATGAAGGGGTGTGGTCGCCTCAGCCATCCCTTGCCTCTACCAGGCCCCCCCTCACGTCTCTACAGCCTCTACAGCACAGTTTTCCTCTACACTATATATACGATGCTGATGCTAGTTCATTTTAAAAAAATTAATTTTCGATACTGAATGCGTACTACATTATGGGAAATGAAAGTATGCACTGCTCCTTTGATTCGCTCATGCAAGTCACAATAAAAGTTATTACTGGTCTCCAATCATCTGGTTGGCAGTGGCAAAATTCCAGCACTGTCCACGGAATGCTTGCAATATTCACCAGACCATTTATTTTAGACGGTCTGGCTAGCCTTCTGTCACTCCTTGCTAGCAAAACAACAAGGTCGAAGGTCAACATGGCAGTTACAAATCCCACTGAACACATATCCTAGACAAACAACCAAGAATATGCCAGTCCCTCCCACCATTGACTCTTATTACCTTACACCATGCCGCATTCTCACAACAAGTTTGCATGTAGCATGCAACACTCTGTTGCAACAATGTTGCATGCAACAAGAATGTTCTAGAACCACTTATGTACAGGGGCCGAATAGGTGTATACTGTGACAGGCGTAAGATTAATTCTTCTTGTTCTTAGCGGGTAGGACTTTTCATTTGTTACCTAGTGCAGCAAGTGGCTGTTAGGTCAGGCCGTACTGTATATCATGTCTCTCCCTTCCAGGCTATGTTTGTCTCATCCGGAGCAGCTCTCTGGCTCACTGGCACTGCTGCTGCCAGTGTTGGTGAGCAGGCTGGGGTTGGAGAAGGTTCCAGAGCCTTCAGAGGAGCTACGTCTGCAGTTGCTGCACCTACTGTCCTCCCTGGTCGAGGTCTGCTCTACTGATATGACTCCGTACCTAGATGACGTGCTTCTCATCCTCCAACACACCATTGTTGACCCTTACCCAGAATCGAAAAAGGTGAGGTTCAAGCACTGTTATTTGTGTATGCTGTTCTGTTTTAACCTAGCCTCGTTCCCAGGCTCTCCCTCTTCTCACACAAATTTTAACGTAAGCTGGTGAGGGAGAGCCCGGTATATCTTTGCACATGTGAGTGACGTCAGGGTAGAAATGTTTTTGCGCTAGGGTAGACACATTTTTCCGTTCGAGCTACATTAGCGTACGCAACAAGACAGTGACCGAGACAGGCCAGGACAGGAGCCACTACAACGAGACAGCTAACCACGCCACACGGTGACACCGTGGCCTAACGTACGTGAAGAACCAGTGAGGAGTTGACTGCTCCTCCATAAGGCGAGCCGGACCAGTGCTTCTGTGTGCCGAGATTTGCTCTCTGGGTGTAGTTTTTTCCTCTCTACGCACGAGCAAGGCTTCTGTCATGGGCTGTACTGGCTCACCGTTTTGTTGCGTATGCTACCGAAGCTTGAACGGAAAAATGTGTCAACCGAGCACAAAACGTGTCTACCCTGACATCACTCACATGCGAAGATACACCACACTCTCCCTCAGCTGTTCAGGGTGTTCAAATGTCATACGAGTACTTGGTCTGTTTGTCTCTTTGTTTGTCGGCGGCTATTCTGGAACTGCAGACTATGACGCAGTATATGAGCGATACCAGCAGCAAAATTAAGGCGATTTCCTGAAACGACTGGGTTGGAGAGACATGGCGTGAAAACAAGCGGAAAAGCCAATATGCACTGACTTATCTCAACCATTTGTTGCTCGATTCAAACTCCTGGAAGTATCTGTAGTTACATGATGGAGGAAGAGGCGTGAGTCTAATGTTGGCGGCAGCTTCCCTTTAAAATCATGTTCAAGCTTAATTACACTTATCACTACGTAAGTACAGTAGTAGGGGTGACACAGGTTATACATTTGTGATGTTCACTTTCAGTTTCAATCGGATCCAACTTCTGACATATCAGTCTGATCTGTATGGTCAAAATAAGCAAGTACATACGAAACAGCTAAAATTGCGCCTAAAGTGTTATTGATTTATTCAAGAAACTCAGCTTTCAAAATTCTTATTCTTGTTGTTCAGTTTTGACAAGCGTATCTAAAAAACCAGGTAAGATATGGAGATGAAACTTTACACAAGGATTGGAAACCATGACAGGTCGTGCAAGAGCGTTTTAACTTGTTTGTAAACAATATTGTTTACAAGTAAACAACAAAAAACAGCAA